TATATATATATATATATAGAGGATACATATTTTAAATTATACAATTTTTTTATAACTATCCTAAATTACTTACTTTCTTCAATAGTAAACTACTCACTATTGTAATTTTGACTAATGAAAAAAACTAATCAATGTTATGTAACCTAAATTATTTCTTTTTTTTTTTAATGTTTTAAAAATAAAATATGTGGAGGCACAAGAATGTCTCTTTTCTATTGGCCAAGAAAATGTTTTTAATTTATTTAAAGTTTATAATAAATAAAAAATTAAATATATAATTATATTTTAAATCTATAATAATGATTTAAACTATAATGTAATATAAATTTTAATTATCGATAATATATTTTAAAAATTATTAAAATTTAATTTAGATATAAAGGTTAAATATTGGTAATAATTTAAATATTGATAATTGAACACCCAACAGATGTTAGTCATGAATAAAAGCGATTAAATCTATCTTAAGTACGTGGATTTGAATTTAGTGCCAAAATATATATTTAAAAAAATTGTTGAAAGAGAACTTTTACTTTAGTACCTATTATAGGAAATTAGCATCTTAATTAGCTTCCATATTAATCTATATAAATATTTGAGAAATCAAAAGAAAAAATGTTAAGCATTATTTAAGATTTTTCCTCTTGGATCAACCAACTATTATATTTGTTTTGTCGACTATTTAATTTTTGTTTGACACTTTACTAAATTATAGTAATTCATACCGCAAATCTCTATTAAATGTTGTCAGAAAACACATTTCACATAAGGAATTTACTCTGAACAAGAGTTCTTCTTAGTTCTTGAACATAGGTTATTAAGTCTAACGCACGAAAAAGAATGAAGTTTTCAAGTTTAAAGGTTGAGAGCTTTCATGTGAAAACACAAACAACAATTTGGGTTCATACTTGATGGGGTTATTTTATGGTGTTTGTCGGAGAGGATATTGTATAAGGGTTATTTTTATAAGGTTATTACACAAACATACTCCACAATGATGAGATATTGTCCATTTTGGACCTAAGCCTTCACGGTTTTGCTTTTAGTCATTATCCAGAGGGCTTCTCAATCATTGTTAAATGTTGTCAGAAAACACATCCCACATAAGGAATTTACACTGAACAACACAATGAGTTTTTCTTAGTTCTTGAACATAGATTATTAAGTCTAACGCACGAAAAAGAATGAAGTTGTCAAGTTTAAAGGTTGAGAGCTCCCATGTGAAAACACAAACGACAACTTGGGTTCATACTTGATGGGATTATTTTGTGATGTTTGTCTGAGAGGATATTGTATAAGGGTTATTTTTATAAGGTTATTACACAAGTATACTCCACAATAATGAGATATTGTCCGCTTTGGGCCTAAGTCCTCACGCTTTGTGCCATATAAGTTGTTATTTCTTGTCTTATTTTATGGATGTGAAACTTGTTTGTATCCCAACAATACTCATATGCTGTCACTTGAAAACAAATAGCACCAGCATTGTAGAAAAATGATGACAATATTTATAAGGGTAGATTGCAAATCATCATCTCTTAATTTAGATAATCAAAGCCAAATTAGACGAATCAACAGAGGAACTCTTTCTCATTTATAAAGAATTTTAATATCATGACATGCATCATTCTTTTTGCAACTTTCAATCAAATATATAGAACAAGTTTGGATGATTTTTATAAGAGAAGATAATAAAATGTTAAAATAAATATTCTCATTATGATTTCTTTTATTTTTCCCCCCAAACATTAGGCAAAATTTGCTTTAGGAAGTAACATTAATTAATAATTACCTTAGATAATATGGAGCAGTGTCTGCTACATTGATTATGGATATTAGAACAGTTGTTTAGCGATGAAGTCTTACTAGGGATGTGGCGAGATGCAATTTACTTTTCTTTTCTTATTTCGTTGAATATAACACTATATCCTTCTCCTGATTTAGGAATTGTGACATCCCAATAAGCACCAAATTCTGGTACTAGTGTTGCTTCATGCATGCTTTTGTCCAACACAACCCATAAACGTGATTAGAGCAACTCCAATGGGAGTTGCTTGTGTCGTTTCTTGTTTCAAGGGACAGTTTCTTTCCATTAAAACACTCCTACGTGACAATATGAATTGCTTGAAAATGAAGGAGAGTTGTTTCTGCAAGCAACTGTTGCTTACCAGAATTTGGTTGGGAAAGAGATTAGTAGGGCAGGGGTGAGGCGGGGTTGATGGCCGAGGCACGAGGTTTGACGACAAGAGTGGGGTTAACGGCAGAGGCGTGGTGTTTGACAGTGAGGGGTGAAGCCGCACGCGATAGCTTTATTGAAGGCATTGAGAGCCTTGATGGCGAGAATGGACGTTGCGGCGACCGTACTTGAAGCGCTTCCCCCACCAGAGCAGCACCATGGCCTCCCGCAACAGCTCCCACCAGATGCAGCACACGAGCGACGCTGCATGGAGGTTGGGACCGTCGAAGGAGACAACGATCTTGGTCAGCACGTCGTACAGAAACGCCGAAAAGTGGGTGGCGAGGAGAGGGAGAAAAATGAAAAATGAGAAAGGAAGAAATGAGACGGAGAAAAATAGAGAGTAAGAAAAAAAAGTGATGGTTGAGAAAAAAACAAAAGAGCCGCTAGACTTAAAATTAAAAAAAAAATTAAATTTCTTAAAATTTTTTATTATTAGTATAAATTTGTGTTTCAGTTGTTTAATACTGACGTAACATACTGAAAATCACTTTTTACACTTTTCAATGCATGAAGCGTGTTGCTTCCATTTGGAGATGCGCTTAGTAAAAGCCAATGTGACCATTGACCACATAATATAACCATTCATATTTCACAAGGTACTTTTATTGACAGAAATTTTAAGAGAATGAGAGAACTTATACCACGTGGTCATTAAGGGATTGGCTCCTATCAATGGAACTACCTCTGGAATCTGACTTCACTCTCTGAATGACAGAATAATGGGAATTGCTTTTTTCATTTTGGCTTATTTGTTCTATAGAACTTGTACTATAGGAGGGCATGTGAGTAGAAGCCTTCACTGCTTTATCACTTTTTTGTTTTTTCAACTCCTCTTATGCATAGATTGAAGCCCTCTGGATTTTCATCTGGGTCGTTCGGATTTATAAGGGGCCTTTTATTGCGTGCGTTATCAAAATATACTGCGTATGGGATGTTATCAGTATCCCAATTACAAAACTTTGGGACATGAGAATGCTGCCATTTGGAAACAATTAGTGAGAGGACTCGGGATCAAGGGTTAGAGACATTTAAATCTCAGACCTTACTCTTAATTAATTCTAAATATGATGGATATGTTGATTCTCTATACTTACTCATTGGGTCTTGCTAGCTAACAAGTGGTTAAAATTCTTCATTTGCTTTAGAGAGACAGAAGTCGCACGTTTAAAAACTATGGTTATTGCAAAAGAGAAACATGGAAAAGAGGAAGAACTAGTTTATCATGTTTAAACACCCCCATTAATCAGAATTTAGAGTAGAGAATATATAGTAAGAACCACAAACACTTACCATTATATTATCGAGAATTGAGACAGGAATAGCGGCTGAGCAATAATTGTAGTGACTACTGACGAGGTGCACAAGCTTCAAACGAGAAATCGGAGGACATGGCCAAATAAAATAAATCGATGGTTATAAAGCTTCTTTTATTATGTTGAACACTAAAAACAAAAGATGGACTCTTTTTCTTCTAATCCAGAATTGGTTTAATTGTCTTTTTATTTTGTTCCATTAATTGTATTTTTTTCTTCTTATATTTTATTCATCGAGTGAATTTTGTTCTAATAATGTGAAGAAAACGAACATTGTATAGAGAGAAAAGGGGATCCATAGTTTTGAGAGAGAGAAAATCAACTCAATTCTTATTATTGCACGATTCACATGTACTTCTTGTTTTTGTGTTTGTTTTTGTTTTTGTAATTTTTCGTGTTTTTGTTTTTGTAATTTTTTAAAAACTATAAATTTTTTGGATGAGAGACAGAAAATTACTGTGTTTTGAGAATAAAAAAGAAAACAAACACCATTGTAATTCTTGACTGAAATCAAAGTTAGAAATCTTACGGTACATTGTGTGATAATCGGAGATTTAGTTTTAAAACATTTATTTTAGAACAATGTTATTTTTTTTACAGCTTTTAGAACAATGTTATTTGAAATTGAATTGAAAGATTTTTCGTAAAATGTGTTACATGGAGATCTATTTAGTCAAGAGGAAATTAGATGGATAATATAATACAGAGAATAAGTGGTTTGAAAAAAAGTAGAAAAAAATACATATATTCACAAAAATTAGTTTGAGTTTAATTTTTATCGATAGAGTAAAAAGTTTTACCATGTCAACTAATAAAAAAAAATGGTAAACATAATTTTAAAGTAATTATTAGACTTCAAATATAATTATAATTTTTGCAATTTACTATTTTTTTTATATGAGATATAATATAACTCCTCTCTCCAGTCCTCTCTTACCTCTCTATTTCTCTCTTATTTTCAATTTTTTTATTTCATTTTTAAGCTGTCTCTCTCTCTTGTTTACTCTCATCACTTCTATATGGTATTTGTCTTGCCGGAGATGCAGAAGCACAGTAGAGGAGCCAGAGGCTTTTCTAATGAATCAGTCAATCCTTATTTATTCACAAAAAAAAAGTCAATCCTTATTTAAGTCAACGATCATCATAATCAAAGAACCAGATGTATTAATAAATTAGTGTTTATTTAGATTAGTTTTCAATTTTATTAAAATCAATTACAAAATCACGTTAAAGACAATTTATTTTAAATTTTTTGACTGTAATTTAAAGATTAAAAAGGCAGTTTTTATTGGATTAAAATGTTGTCCACAGATCTTGTGTCTTTATTTCTGTTCCACTTAGGCTATGCGTATGGATTCTCTTTAGAGGAAGCAGGCAGCACCGCACAAAGGTACAGGTGGATCAAGTCTGGAATCCAGTCCAACTCTCCAATCCATTGATGCTCATAGAGTCATAGTCCAAATTGTAAAGTAAAAGAAAAAAACACATGAGAGGGTTGGATTGGGTAAAGAGAGGGTTTGGTATTTTCATTGTGGGTTCCGATTTCAGCATATTCTGTTTGTACACGTCTCTGTCTGAAGTCATCACACACCAGACTTGAAAGCATCTTATCAAAGATCCTCTTACCTTTTTCTTTTTTCCTCCTTTCTTCTCTCTGTAAACTCACCACGCTGCCTCTCTCTCTCTCTCTCTATATATATATATTTCATATTTGCATTAACAAGACAGATCCTGAAACCTGGAGATCCCGTGAATCGCTCCATCTATCGCCTCTTTCCACACTGTTCACGTTTTTCGCGCCAAAACCATGAAGCTCGACAACTATAACGTCCAACCGCCCCTCGCCGCCGACGCTTCGCCGCCGCAGGACTCCCTCTCCGACGCCGACACTGACGCCGAGGACATTTTCGTCCCGCCGCTCAACTTCGCCATGGTCGACAACGGCATTTTTAGGTCCGGCTTTCCCAATTCCGCCAACTTCGGATTCTTGAAATCCCTCCGTCTCCGTTCCGTAATGTGAGTTACGTTTTCCTTTTCGTCTTCTATTTCTCCTTCTGAATTTCAGAGTATCATCGAGGGATCCGTATGCATATAATGCTACTGTATATTTCGTTGCAGATGTTTGTGTCCTGAACCGTATCCAGAGTCCACATTGGAATTCTTGAAGGCCAACGAAATTAGGCTTTATCAATTCGGGATCGACGGCTGTAAGGTTTGTATTATTCCTCTCTTTTCTGAATCCTCATCATCGTTGGTATTTGTACTCTCGTATGCTTCTTTTTAATTCTTGTCTGTTAAATTTTGCTTTCTTGATGTTCTTGTCGTCTGGCAATTAACTGGAGTAACTTGATTCCAAGTCTTGCGTATTTGCATGATTCTTTCTCCAATTTATTGTACTTTTCCAATCCAATTTTGGCAGATTTCGTATAATTTTATAATGTTAGTTTCTGATGTTATTTTTATCTTGCGATATGGTGCTTCGAAACAGTTCAATTACTTATTTGAAGAGAAAGAAATAGGTCCGTTTGGGATGACACACAGAAATGCATATACTCGTAATAGAAAGAAAGTGAAAACTGAATAGAAGTTTTTCATCTCTCTTATTAATGAACATTAATATAAACACGTATTTATAGAGTAATAAATGATAACAGACTAAAGTATATAAAAGATACCTAAAGACTATATCATCAAATGATACATATATAGACTAAACTTTTAGACTATTAAGTATAGAATAAACATGCAAATTATATATACAGATGATATATACAGACTATACAATTGAATTACAATAAAATCAAAAGCGTTTAAGATAACTAACACCGATTGCAAATCCAAGAATGAGCATGCGTCTGCAATATACGATGGTCTAGGGATGTGAATATGTGATGCATCGGGGGAATAAACTAATTATATCATTTATGTAATGGCATTCATGCCTTATCTGATGGTATTCACTATAATTATGTGTTGCACTATATTAATATGGGCCAAGAGGCTGTGCACCTTCACTTACAGCTCTCGGCAATGTCTTTTTTTTTTTTTTAGCCTCGTGTTGGTTATCCAATTGAATCAGTTGATTGTTATAGTACAGCTCATTTTGAGAACAATTTCTGTGATTTTGGCTTTTTCAAATGGCTGTGAATTTCAATGCTCCTGGTAGCAAGTATTTGATTTCTGTTACAGGTTCGTAGGGATGTCTCTCATCAGTTTCAGGCCCAATTCCATTTTGAAAGTAAACTAATTTATCTGAAAAACTAGACCAATTCATAGTAATTTTCAATTGAACTAAAGAGGATACTGTTAGCTAGTACAGTTTGCTTTGTTTCTCTGGATTCGGAGGGAAAGTTCATTTAGATTTTATGGATCAATTCTTTGGAAGAATTACTTGGTTTTACTTCCAGTTAAGAATTTAGTCAAACTAAATTTAGTAATTTCATGATCTAACTACTGCTCAATTCTTCTTTCTTTCAAGATCGATAAACTATTTTATGGATAAAGCTTAATTGAACACACTGAATCCCCCTCCCTGCAAGATCCTTTGTAGAAAATCAAATTTTAATACTTGTGTTTGCTCTTGCTCTGTCAACTAAGAAAACATTTCTATATTACACGTTACTGCTACAATTAAATTAGTTGTCATGGGTTTTAGCTTGTAATTGTGCGTTTTTTCTGCCTTTCACCTTGCATGATTTCTAGTTCTATAGGTTCCCTTTATTTTCTTCCTCAAGCCAATCTTGGAAAACTTGCAGCTTCTGTCCCTTTATCCTAGCTAAACATCCCATATTCCTATTCAATTCATGGACAGCAACCATCCACCCTTTGTCCTTTGTTCCAAAACAGTTCTAGAATTTATTCTTTGCTTCATCCTCTGTCATAAAGCTATTTCAGAATAAGCATATAAGTTATTCATTGCCCTTGGTTAAGTCTTGCCTCATTTAAGATGTTTAGCACAGATTAACCTTTTTGCCGCTGCCTACCAACATCTATATTAGCTGTATAATCCACCTCATACTAAAACCAGATTTAGAAGCTTGACTTGCTAGACAGATGGCTTTAAGAGGCTTCTGTTCATATGAATTTGATCTTTATGTCTAGACTCTAGAGCTTGTTTCAAATAATGTGGCAAAAGTTTGGGGTTGAGGAATGACATACGTGATGGCAGAATTGAAACTGATTCTATTTCCAATACATGTTCCATGCTATGACACCAGGTGGGTGGGAAGCCTGGCCACGTTAAGTTATACACCAAGGTAGTCACCATTCTTGTAGCTGACTTTGTTCAGTGCAGACCCTTATTTTCCTTTGAAATCAATCTTTAGCAGGAGTTTGGAGGCGTCTCCTATGCTGGAATTGCCCTTTATTTTTTTCTTTTGAAATTGGTCCTTATGCTATGGTAACGCATTGGGTTATCTCCCTTAAAATTGAATGATAACAATTCCCATTCCCATTAATTGCTTTCTTCTGCCTGCATGCCAGACAAGGCTGGAAAAAAATAGTGAAAGATTGAGGAAATCTTGATAAAAACTTAGTTCTGCAAAACTGATTCAAAATTTCAAATACTGTGGGCAGGAACCCTTTGTCAACATCCCAAATGATACAATTCGTGAAGCCCTGAAAGTAGCCCTCGGTACTACAAAATCTCGTACTTCACCATTCTAATATAGTAAAGCTTGTTCACTGATATATCGACCTAATTGTTTCATGTTTTTCTTTCTCCAGATGTTAAGAATCACCCCCTGCTGATTCATTGTAAACGAGGGAAGGTATGCACCATTTCTATTTTCTTCGAATCGTTTTATTAATAATGTGAACTGTTAATCTCCAATTGTTCAGTGATTTTCCATGAACAGCATCGCACTGGTTGTCTTGTGGGATGCATAAGAAGATTGCAGAGGTGGTGTCTGTCATCTGTTTTTGATGAGTACCAAAGATTTGCAGGTGCCAAAGCCAGAGTGTCAGATCAGAGGTTCATCGAATTGTTTGATATCTCTGGTTTGAAGCACCACCCACTGTCATTTTCTTGCTCAAGGAAATAGAACCTGGAATAACGGGGTACTATAGAAAGTTACTGCTTCCTCCCATGGAATATTTCCATGATGAAGTGAAGTATAATGACTAGTCGTTTATCTTTCTTCACCAAAAATTAGAGCAGGATCAGTAGGAATTTTAATGAGATCTGCTTCCTTACGTATACTTTCCTGTTTCAATGTTGGATACCAATCTACCGAATTATGTTGTGTCGGGGATTGGATAGTAGTGAAGGATTGGAAATGAGTCTGAAGCTTGACTCGTGAAAAATAAAAAAAAGTTGCTTTAGTATTTATGGAAACACTTCATCTAAAGTGATCAAGTATTTATGCCTTGATTGAAACCCGGAAATTCTTACGGAAAAAGCCAATAATTAGTGTTTTATAATATGTATAAAACTTTAAACATAATCTTCTCATCTCATGAAGCCTAGAAAAGGGTAGAGAGTGAGAAATGACTGTGCAAAATAGTTTCTTAGAATATACAAGTTATTTTTACTCATGTATGTTTTTTCTATCTAATTTAAGTAGAGAGAAAATTGAACTTTTCTTTGTTATAATGAATTCAGAGAATTTAAAATCATTATTTTTCATCATGGAATTTATTCTTGTACCTATTTGGATCTTTTAATATCTTTTCTAGTATAAATCGAGTTAAAGTAAAGCTAAAATCGAAATGTGTACCTAAGGACAATTTAAATTTAAATGCCACGTTAATTTAACCTACATTCAGGATGTATATTTTACACCATCTCAAGAAAAAAAACATTACACACCCTAATTTGTTCAGTTAATTTGTTCAGTTTAGTTGATTTCACACTTTAGATTCGTTATGGGAGTTGTTCTGTTCTATTTTTTAGAATTTGGTGTCTAGGTGTGCATTTAAAACGAATGAAAAGGCGGTGGGATGGTTGAAGAAGTTGCCCATTGATATTCACAACAGATGCATTTATAGGAAAATGAAGTCTCCATATTGATCATGTGTTTTGACATAATCAACCAATATGCTCCCTCATTTGCATCTTTAAAGAGTCCTTAGCAACTTCAATAGATTAAAAAAGCTCACTTTTTTTTTAATTGGTTAGAGGTATATCTATCTTACCCCGTTTTATCTTCTTCGATCAAAACCAGGTATCTTACATTAAAGTGTGCCCGATAAATATGATTTCTGCCCCCACCATTCTGTTTCCCCACAGAAACTAAAACTGTAGTTGAATGCACCTAATCACTACATTACAATGGAATAAACTACGAAATTCACAAGATAAAATGATATGCATTTTAATCTAAATTAACCATATGCGAGTTAAAGTAACAAGGGACTCAAATTCAGGATAAAAGGAAGGGTTTTGACAGTACTCAGCACAACCAATATCTAAACGACTGTCAATCAATGGCAGAAGAATAATACCTACCAGATGCATTTTGAATTCTATAATTAGTGAAGTTAGAATGTTACAAAGGTGCATCAGCGATGGAACAGAGTCCACATGGATATAAATCTCCATTCGGTTCAAAGTGAAGAAATTTTGGTCATTTTAGCACATCATCTGCACTTCCTTATTCGACACACTTCCAATTCCAACTTTTCAAAGCATTCACCCAAACACAACAATAAATTGGGCAGAGAAACGCCAGTAAATGAAAAAAAAAATAAAAAAATAAACAAATACTGAAGGTATGAGAAAAATAAATGTAGACGAGGAACAATCGATTCGCCAATCACAGAAAGGGCGATCGAAACGATGACTCGCCCGTTAGGCTTGATATACCTCAGTGATCAAATAATGACAGAGACACTTTCAACAGTCTCTTCATTCTAATAAAAACAATTGAGGCCTTTCTTTTCCACAAAATTAAAATCAAACAAATTTTACAAACCATTTGTCCTTCTCCGCCGTCGACATCTTATGCAAATTGAAATGAAGCTTATATCCTAGGCGCAATTTATAGAGTGGTCAGTTGGATACAAACCCTAACCTGCTATTACTACTGGACAAAATTGGCCCTCCACCCTCACTTATTTACCAAAATACCTCTAAACCCTTAAAATTACACCGTGCTTGATATAGACGGTCGAGAAGACGATTGATCAGATCAAACGGTTGAGAATAGCGAATATACGGTTGATATAGGCTAGGGTTTCAGACATGCCAAGTTCTCTCATTTCACTTCTCAAAACAAATACCACTGAACTAACTAAACTAAGCTCCCACTGCACCTTTTGTTTCTTTAATCACACACGCTATCTCCTTCTTCTTCTAGAGTCTTCCACTGGCAATATCGGAGTTTTGGTGCAGCTTCTCACCGGTAAGTGTAACTACTTCCCTTTCTCTGTTGTTAATTTTGCCCTAGGTTCATTCGTTGGAACGATAATTTTAGTAAATAATCGCGCGTAGGAAGGGCAGTAGTATGGGGAAATCAGGGGGTAGAAGAAAGAAGGGCGGTTCGAACGCAAACAACCAAGGCGGTGCAGCTGAAAATTCTGGTTCAACCGCCGCAGCAGCTGCGACGGCCAATGGTGGCGCGGAGTTGTTGGACTCGTCGATATTTTTGAAGAAGGCGAATGAGCTGAAAGAGGAAGGGAACAAGAGGTTTCAGAATAAGGACTATGCGGGTGCTCTTGAACAGTACGAGAGTGCTCTTCGACTAACCCCCAAAACGCACCCTGATAGAGCCGTTTTCCACAGCAACAGGGCGGCGTGTTTGATGCAGATGAAGCCCATAGATTATGAAGCTGTCATTGCTGAGTGCACCATGGCGCTCCAGGTTCAGCCCCGCTTTGTTCGGGCCCTTCTTCGCCGCGCTCGGGCGTTCGAGGCGGTTGGCAAGTATGAGATGGCTGTGCAAGATGTGCAGTTCTTGTTGGCTGCTGATCCCAGTAACCGCGATGCTTTGGAGATTGCCCAGAGATTGAGGACTGCATTGGGGCCTCGCCAGGAAGCCCAGCAGGATCTCCACAGTCGGCCCTCCCCTGCTGCCCTTGGTGCTTCGGCTGTCCGTGGTGCCCCTATTGCTGGATTAGGGCCGTGTTTACCAGCCCGCCCTGCCGCAAAGAAAGGACCCAATTCAGCTGTTGGATCTGGCGTTTTGCCTAACAATAACAAGATAGACAAGTCCCAGCCAGTTTTGCCCACTGAAAATGGTCCTGATGCCAAGTCTCAGTTGCCCAAGGTGGTGTTGAAGCCTTCAAATGGTTCTGCAAAGCAGCCTAATGCTAAAAAGGCAGACCACAAGGAGCACTCATCAACCATTCATGGGCAGCTTTCTGAGGTTGCAATTCGGTGGAGACCATTGAAGCTTGTTTATGATCATGACATTAGGCTTGCCCAGATGCCAGTCAATTGCAGTTTTAGAGTACTAAGAGATACAGTAAGCAAAAGATTTCCTTCGTCGAGTTCTGTTCTGATCAAGTTTCAGGATAGCGATGGTGATTTGGTTACTATAACTTGTACTGATGAACTCAGATTGGCAGAGTCTGGTGCTGATAGCCATCTTGTGAAAGAACCTGGGGAAGATAAAAGTGATTCTGTTTCAATGCTGAGACTTCATATTGTTGAAGTTAGCCCCGAGCAGGAGCCACCTTTATTGGAAGAAGAGGAAGAGAAACCAGTTGAGAATGAAGGGATCAAGGGAGATGAGAGTGGATCACATTCTTCCCTTGGTGAATCTGTTTCTGAAGTTCCTGATAATGAGGTTGATAAGTTTGGGAAGGATGCTCCAAAGGAGAAGCCAGGAGATACGGAATGCAAAGAAGTGGAGATGGATGATTGGTTGTTTGAGTTTGCTCAGCTTTTTCGCTCACATGTTGGTATTGATCCAGATGCTCATATTGACTTGCATGAGCTTGGGATGGAGCTTTGTTCTGAGGCACTTGAGGAAACAGTAACTAGTGAGGAGGCTCAGGATTTATTTGACAAGGCTGCTTCAAAGTTTCAGGAGGTTGCTGCTTTGGCTTTTTTCAACTGGGGTAATGTTCACATGTGCGCGGCTAGGAAGCGGATCCCCTTGGATGAGTCTGCTGGGAAGGACGTCGTGGCAGAGCAGCTTCAAGTGGCTTATGACTGGGTCAAGGACAAGTATTCTTTGGCAAGAGAGAAATATGAGGAAGCACTCTCAATCAAACCAGACTTTTATGAGGGACTGTTGGCTCTGGGGCAGCAACAATTTGAAATGGCTAAACTTCATTGGTCATTTGCACTTGCTAAGAAGATAGATCTATCAGGCTGGGATTCTAAGGAGACACTTCAACTTTTTGACAGTGCAGAGGAGAAGATGAAAGCTGCAACAGATATGTGGGAGAAACTGGAGGAACAGAGAGCAAAAGAGCTAAAAGACCCAAATGCAACCAAAAAAGAAGAATTATTGAGAAGAAGAAAGAAACAAGGAAGTGCTACTGAAGGTGAGTCCTCCAGTGTTGGAGGTCAGGGTGATATATCTCCAGAAGAAGCTGCCGAGCAAGCAGCTGTCATGAGATCGCAAATTCACCTCTTCTGGGGTAATATGCTTTTTGAACGATCACAAGTTGAATGCAAATTGGGAATGAGTGGATGGAAGGAAAACCTGGATGCTGCAACTGAACGCTTTAAGCTTGCAGGAGCTTCTGAGGCAGATATTTCAATGGTTCTAAAGAATCATTGCTCAAATGGAGATGATAAAAAGATTGAGAACGCGCAGCACAATAAGACTGTTAAACCAGAGATCAATAAGGCTAATCAAGTATGAAATCAATGGTGTGGCTTTGAAATCTCTTTTACATCTGTTCAGTTGAGTGTTGAATGAAGACTCCGGACAAAGAATATCCTTCTCTTTGAGAGTTCCGAAGGGATATCTAATTTTTTGAAACAGAAATTGAAAAGGGTGCCTTAACTAAATAGTTCTGTTTTTTTTTTCTTTTTCTTTTCTCTGAAGTTCTGAGCGATCTAATGAAGGGAGATTATTTTTTAACACGATTTACACAATATGAATTTCCATTAATCAATTTCACTTGCTATGTTCGTAGTGCCTATGCCACTTAATCGAGGATTGCCTACTTGCTCAAGTTCTGACATTTGTTTTGTTTGGTCTTATTAAAATGCTGAATGTGTTGCCGAGTATATAACATGAAGTTATATGGGGTTGTCTTGAATTTGTTTCGATCATTAAAAGAGGTTAGTCATAAGCATTTGAGACGGTGAGTAAAGTTTTGAATATTTGCCAATTAATAAATAAAGTTTGATAAAATCTCACCACTTGTATATTTAAAGACATTTGCTATATGGTATGGCTGAGATCAAGTCGTAGGCACAGCTTTGAAATACTTGTATGGGATGGTGTTTACATTTGTTATATTTAAATAGTTAGAGTTCTTATCTAGATTTTCGGTATCAGGTATAATAATATTTATTAAAAACATACTTTATTATTATTTTCTTTGGTAGATGAAACTTTATTTTACTTTTGAGCCAACAATTTTTTCGTAAAAAGAATATAAAGCAGTTTGGGGACATTTTTGTTTAAATTTAAATAATATTGTTAATGTACAATTTTTTTAATTTTTGAGCAAAATATAAAAACATTTTTGACAAATTTATATGATCATTAGACTTGTGTTTAACTTTATTTTTAAAAAAAATCTAAGATCCATAAATGATGTCTGTAGGCTCAGAATTCTTAAGGGATTATTCATAACCACTTTTTCGAAATTTGTTATGCAAATTATTGCTTCACTATTATAAACAATGACGTTGAAAAAGATTTTGCAAGCGTTGCGAACGGTTTGTCTTCAAATCCAAATATGACCTTGAGTGGAGAGTCGTGGCGTTGACGAACAGATTGGTTGTGACAAATAGGTCAGATTTCTTGGTGGTGTGATTTGTGATTGTGTGGTGACATGGGTTTAGACAGGTAACTATGAATGAATATCTTCCACGTTTCAGCTTATAGCCCTTTGATTACGTGCAATGTTGGTATTTCCCAAGTTGTAAAACATGGGAGATAGTCCCTGATATTTTGCTTTCTCAAATGAGTTCTTTAATTGTCAAAAACAAAATCGTCACTTATTTTTCTCCGTAATTGTCTTCTAAAAATGGAATTTCATCTGTCGTATTTGTATAATCTCTTTGCATATTTAGTTGTATAGTTTAAACATCGTGTTTCTTCTTTTTTATTTTTTATTTTTGTTATTATTATTATTCTTAATGCACTGGCCCCCTCCCCCTCCTAAATCCATTTGAGCAACCTGGTAAGGGCTAACGAAATATATTTGTCAATGTATTAAATTTCTGATTTCAGATTTATAATTTTTGAGAAATTAAGGACACTAAAGAAAAATGTCAAGAATAATTTTATTTAATAATATTTTTGAGAAATATATTTCTAAGTGGGTAGAATAATGTCCTGTGATCTATGTTGTCAGCTTCAACAAGTGAGATGAAAGCATGTAATCAACCTCATCTAATATACTGTTTTGTTCTGTTCTGTTGCTGTTTGTACTAAATTTCCAATTGATCCGTAGCTTGAATGTTTAATGATATATGTTAGATACACACATCACGTGCTTAACCTGTGTTTTGGTTCAGTTTATGTCAGAAAAATAGTCACTTATTTTATCAGCTTTTTTTAATAAATAATAATCGGTAATTTTCTGTGAAATCAATATTTCCGAAATATGAAAATGCAAAATAACTTTGTAGTGTCTGGTAGGTTTGTCTCCTAATTGGGCATCCAGTGCATGATAACTTAAGTAGAACTCAAAGTCAGAGGTGCATTTAGTTTATATCTTCAAGTCTTCTACGGCTTTGGGTATCTGAACTTCCTTAGTCGCTTTCATTACCCACATTCTATTAATTTACTCTTGTGTCACAAAAAGTCGGAACCTTTTGCTGTTGCTCGTAATGGGAGTGCACATGTTATCTAATTTCCTGCAAAAACAAAATTCGATAGGTACTTTACTGAGACAAACAAAATATACTTGGTGATTACCGGTTACAAATACTCTAGGTGGAAAAAAAAACATTAACCCAGCAATTCGATAGACGACTTTACTCGCCTTGTTCTCTACGTTGTTGTTACATTTCCTTGTTATGTTCATCAATTATCATGACTCACGTGCATTGTCAACGGATCCAACTGGATACTGAGTAATTTGAGCAGCTTTGGCTAGGAAGTGGCCAGATTTAGTAATGAAATGGTCCTTCACTTGTGGTCCCAATTGATGATTTTATGACTAGATGAAATTGGCCATGCACCTTTTATAAATCAGACTAAACATTTTGAAACCATAGTCTATTGTTAGCTCTCGAATCAACTATATTGGCCTACTTTTTTCCAACACTAATCGTGATACTGTTGGTAAGCCGTTCAGGGTTGGTTTGCAAATCCAACCATCATGCTTTCCTACCAACCTTGGATTCTTAATATTATCAACATTCTTGTTTGGTTGTTTTCCAATGTCAAAGGGATTGATTTTTTTTTTTGTCAGCAAAAGAAACTTATTAAGAAATAAGCACTAGAAGTACCCAGAAATATAAAGATAATTAACATACTCCAACAAATGATAAATAAGAAATATTAATCCTCCCAAACAAACTTAATAAAATATATTTTAATTATATAAATAAGTTCTAGGTGAATTTTTTTATTGACTAAAGAAGTATGTAAAATTTTTTGTCAACTCCTTTAATCAAGTTCATGAAAAAAACAAAACGTCCTAAACTACTTTGTTAAAGTCAAAAACTTAACTTTTATGTAAATATGCATTCCTGTGTTTCCAAATACACCATATTATAGCACATCATTCTTTACTCAAAGGGATTGATAATAGGTCATATTATTTTATTCCGCACCTTTCGGTTCCTAAAAATTAGGAAACTTGAAATTTTGCAAGAATTACCAATGACAAAAAACCCAATAAAGCATTAGAAAAGAAACTGCTGTGGCAATAGAACTTGACAAGGACAGAGAAGTTACAAATTAATGGTTTGCCTATAACACATCTATTGACCTAAATACAACATTAAAACCTTCAAAGTATGTATGATGAACAAATGGGAAAAACACATGTTGAAATTTGGATCAAATTTAAAAGATCCATAAAAATAAGACATACATTAACAAATATTTTTAAAATACTGATTAAGCTCGCCAAAAACAAAAAGGAATACTGATTAAGGAATAAAAATAGAAAGATATTTTATGAAAAGTATTATTTATACATGTCTCCTGATTTTCAATATAATATTAGCTTAATTTTTAATAATAAAAAAATTTCCTTTTATTTATTAGATGTTAATAATATTACTTAGTAGAATCGAGTTATTGAATTAATTAATTAATGACTTAGAGTTTATTTGGGTACTTTTGAAAGCAAAAAATTTTCTATTGAAAAATACTCTTTATTTTTTTTTAGAAATTTTTTAAAAATCCTTTTAACTTGTATTCAAACATATTAAATAATTACGTGATAATTACCTTTTTCACCAAGTTATTAGCTTGACCTCATGGTGTACATTAAAAAAAGGCTTGACCTTTTTGGTAAATCCCCCAAGTTATTTGCTTCATATCGATATCGAAGTTTGACCCAACAGCCTAAAATAAATCCAAGTAAGGAATGCCCTTATATGCCAGTACTACACGTGAGAAGGCTATCAAGGAGTTAGATATACCTGACCAGCTTCTTAATACTCCCTCCAAGATTTACAAATTGGTTTAAAATACAAGAGATTTTGCAAAAATGTAAACTAGTCTAGAAAGCTATAAATGGTGGCTTTAGTTAGTGACGGATTTGTTGTCCAATTTTCTAAAACTTGTTTAAGTGTTTTAATCCGTCACCAACTCTCCAATAAAGAAGCTCCTGGACCTGCACAATAAACACAACAAAAGAGGTTAATGGAGGCTCCTCACAAGGTGAAAGGAATGGTCACTCAAGTGAAGGAA